TTTAATAATTGTGCACAGATAGTCCTGAAAGCACCTCAATTGCAGGTAGCATTTTCAGAAGATATTTAACCACTTTGGCTGCTCATTTTCTTCTTCTTCCAGCCTTCCCTCACAGAAGAAACACCTTGAGATCAGTCCCCAGCTACCTAGAGAAAGCAAAGGCTGTGAACTGGACTGACCTTAATTAATTTACTCTGCAATTCAAGTAGTTATTAAATCTCAGAGTTTAGCAGTGCCCAGAAGTTATCTTGCAGAACTGTCTACCCAAAACATAAACCTTTTTTATAACCACCGATTTAATACCCTTTAATCACTTATGACAGACATATAGGCTTAGAAAATAAAATGTGTAGAGCCCAGAGTGGCACTGTGTTTTATTTAACTTTCGGTCCAGTTTGAGCAGGCCTCTTAGGGGCTCAGAAAGGAGGCCACTCCGAGATAAGAGTTTAGGATTTTCCTAGGAATGAATGTTAAAAAATGGTCCTCTGCAAATTTATGCCACCAATGCTTAGAGAGGGGCCAAATATAAGACTTTTGAAACCCACTGAACCAAGACCCTTATTTCACAGATTAAAAAAGCTTAAGGGCCAGAATGATTAAGTGAATTGCCTTAAAAAACAGCTATAACCTAGCCTCAGAATCCAAGACTTAAACCCTAGTTTAAAAGTTAGACGCGATTTTCACCGTTTCTTGAGTATTTCTAACATTTTAGTACTCCCTACGTTGGAAGCATTATTAAGGCTGAGATTCTTACTCAGTTGCCCCCACCACAATGTATGGGCACTACTAGGGAAAACCTATCAGGAAAATAGGGTACGGAGAGAAGGGAGTCAATGAAGTAAAAATAAGAGCCTACTCTCTCTACTGACCCCTCGCCACCCTATGTTGATGACTACTCAACAGTGAGACATTCTGATCTATTTAGACTAGAGGAACTGGACTTGCTTTCCCCACTTTAGTTATTTTTTGCACTATTTTTGCAAAGAATGTAAATAGCTAGCAAATTTGACTACAAAGTTTCTCTGATTAGTGAGTGAATAATATTTGTTAGGCAGATCCCTGCACTTAAATAAAATAGATTCATGAGTGGAGGTCAGGGACGGCTCTCTGACGATATGACATTTAAGCTGATGTGTTATAGATAAGCATGAATTAGAGAGACGAAAACAATCCTAGGCACTATTTTCAGCAAAGGAAACATCTTATAGAGAGAGAGAGACCAGAGGTAGGGTAAAACAAACAAACAAACAAATAAAATAGGTTTAATGTTGTGTGGAAGGAGAAACAGATAATTATGTAGATCCCTAAGGATTTTTTTAGAGGACATCTCTTTTTTTTTTTTTTAATCCTCACCCGAGGACATTTTTGCATTTTTTGTTCAGACAGAGCAGGGGGGAGAGAGAGGAAGAGAGAGAGAGAAGAAACATCGACGTGAAGGGACACATCGAGTGGTTGCCACCCGCATGACCAATCAGGGCCGGGGACAAACTGCAACCGAGGTACGTGCCCCCAGCAGGAACCGAACCCGGGTCTCTCTGTACCGCAGGCCGACGCTCTAACCGCTGAGCCAAACCGGCCAGGGCGAGGCCATCTCTTTTTAATAAATGTGGTTCTCTTAATGGAAATGTGAAGGGAAAGACAGAAGGATATGGAAGCAGCAGAGCCCTGAGGATGCTCAAGGAGCTGAAGTCATGGCATCCCAAGGTACTGAACCAACGCTAATGAAGAAAATGTCAGAATGAATATAGGGCAATACGGAGTGTGAATTCTGAGGCTGGAGGTCTGAATTGGAGTTTCCAGTTTGTTGCGTAATCATACATGAGTCACTTTACCCTCTTTGACCTCAATTTCCCCTTCTGTAAAATGAGAGAATTGAGATGGGTGACTGGGTGATTCCCTCTAGTTTTCTTTTTGCTAGTTGTTCAAGAGATACTAACATAGTTCCATTCCTGTCACAGTATCACAAAATGTCACAGCTCTGGAACTCTCTCAACGTAGTCAAGTTTCAGCCCAAATCCCAAAATGAAATGTCCAAGGAAAGTGAGTGAATATGCAGAAAAGGCCTCAGACCAAGAGGACCCCAGCTGGCTGAAAGGAGGAGTCAAGCCTCCCATTCTCTCCTGCCCATTTCCTGTCTTTCCAGATCATTCCCGCTGAACCCCAGTTCTAAGAATTCAGGACACCAATCTATTGAGCCTGCTGTTTCTTCACTGTCCCTCAAAACCCTCATGTCCTCATGTGCCACCTTCCCAGGCTTAGAGATCTCATGGTCCATCATGTGGTCTCTCCCTTTCAAATCACAGCAACTCTGTTTCTCTCTCTCTCAATCATACCAGCTGATAAATCCCCAACCCTAGTTGAATCCAACCCTCAATCTGTCCTTGGGCAACTAAAGAATGTTGAGTAAACACACAACCACACATTCATAGATAAGAACTTCAAGTGGGCCCTTGGTACTGCCCAGCATTTCTTTCCCATTTTCTTAGTCAACTTCCAATGATTTTTCTCATACCCTGTTCTTTCTCCTCACACCTCTAATACCTCCTCTCTCCCAGTCCTCATCCTTAGCTGGTAACCTCGCTTCTTATTTCACTGAAAAAGTAGCAGCATCCAGAAGAGAACACCCCATTCTCCCATGAGCAACCTACCAACTCACCTGTACCTGCACCTTCATGCACTCTGCCTTCTCTGTTCTTGTGACGATGAAATGCTCATGCCCTGTTTTTGTTGTATTTTGGTGAGGAGCCCCTTCACTTTAGCCCTGTCCCATCTTCTCTTATCTAGTAAAGGACTTATCCTTTGTCCTTTTTCTCTTGTTTTTGTCCTGCATCACGTTTCCTCTCCTCTTTATTAGAGCAATCTCATCAGCATATAAGCTGCTAAAACATCTCCCATCTTAAGAAAAACAACAACAAAACTTGTCCCTTGACTCTGCATGTCCTCCTCAGCAAGAATCCCGTTTTTCTGCTTTCTCGTACAGATGACGTGGAAGATTTGTCTAGCCTTGCTGTGTCCACTTCTCTTCCTCCACTTCTTTCTTGTACTCACTTCGAAGAGTTTTTCCCCAATGACTCTACAGAAACTGCATTTGTCTAGGTCACCAGCAGGTCCCACTTCCAGTCTGCCAAATCCAATGGTTATGTCTCAGTCCTCATTTTATTTGACCTCTGTCTTGGTTTCCTATGGCTGCTATAACAAATTACCGTACACTCGAGGGCTTAAAACAACAGAAATTTATCCTCTCATAGTTCTGGAAGCTATAAGTTGAAAATCAGTTCCACAGGTAAAAATCAAGGTGTCATCTGGGCCTTCTTTCCATAAACTCTCTAGGGAAGAATCCATTTCTTGCTTCTTCCAGCTTGGGGTGGCCCCCAGCATTCCTTGACTTGTGGTCACATCACTCCACTCTGCCTCGTGGTCACACTGCTTCCTCCTCTTCTCGTGTCATCTCCTTCTGCCTCTCTCTGATGAGCATACTATCATTGGATTTAGGATAATCTAGGATAATGATTCCATGTCAAGAACATTAACTTAATCACATCTGCAAAGAGTCTTTATTTTACCCTTATAAGGTAACATTTACAGATTCCAGGAATTAGGACTGAATATCTTTAGGGATCATTATTAATCTTCTACAACCTTCTAGGAACATTTAACACAGTGGATTACTCCCTTCTCCTAAAACCCTTTCTTCACTTGACTTCAGAGATGCTATTCTTTCTTCTTATTTTTAATCCTCACCCGAGAATATGTTTGCATTTATCTTCAGATAGAGCAGGAGGGAGAGAGGGAGGAAGAGAGAGAGAGAGAAACATTGATGTGAGAGAGACACACTGACAGGTTGCCACCTGCATGACCCTAACCAGGGCCAGGGACGAACTGCAACCGAGGTACATGCCCTTAGCGGTAACTGAACCCAGAACTCCCCGGTCTGCGGGCCAATGATCTAACCACTGAGCCAAACCAGCCAGGGCACTATTCTTTCTTGTTTAATTGATTGATTCATAATTGTGGTAAATGACACATAACATAAAATTTACCATCTTAACCATCTTCAAGGGTATAGTTTAGTAGTGTTAGCTATGTTCACACTGTTGTGCAATAAATCTCTAGAACTTTTCATCTTTCAAAACAAACTCTATGCTCATTGAACAACTCATTTCCCCCTCTCCACAGCCCCTGGCAACCACAATTCTACTTTCTGTTTCTGTGAGTTCAACTATCTTGAATACCTCGTATAAATGGAATCATACAGTATTTGTCTTTTTGTGACTGTCTTATTCCATTCAGCATAATGTCCTCAAGTTTTATCCTCATTGTAGCATCTGACAGAATTTCCTTCTATTTTGTTGTATGTATATATCACATATTGTTTATCCATTCATTCATCAGTGGCCATTTGGGTTGCTTCTCCCTCTTGGCTGTTGTAAATAATGCTGCTATAAACATGGATGTTCAATATCTCTTCAAGATCCTGCTTTCAGTTCTTTTGAATATATACCCAGCAGGTGGATTGCTGGATCATATGCAAATTCTATTTTTAATTTTCTGAGGAACCTCCATACTGTTTCCCCCATTTTCCATCCCCACCAACAGTGCAGTGCACAAGGGCTTTCAATTTCTCCACATCCTCGCCAACACTTGTTATTTTCTGTATTTCTTGATTTCTTTTTTTTTTAGCATGTTGCTCATTTATTTTTGTTTTTTGTTTTTTTTTTTAATTTATTTTTGTTACAGATATCTCTCCTTTCCCTTCCATTGACACCCTCGTCCCAGCTCCCATCCCCCCACCCCCACCTTCACAGTATTGTTGTCTGTGTCCATTGGTTATGCATATATGCATATAAGTTCTTTGGTTTTTCTCTTCCAGCCCTCCCCCATCGCCCCCTTTCCCTGAGGTTTGTCAGTCTGGTCCCTACTTCCATGTCTCTGGGTCTATTTTGTTCATCAGCTTATTTTGTTCATTATATTCCACAGATAAGTGAGATCACGTGAAATGTGAACAACGATGGTTAGAAGCCACGAAGTAGGTGGCAATGCCTTCATCGTATGCGTGTTGTTAGGCCTGAGCGCCTCTTCTATCCTTGTCAAGGGGAGTGCTCCCCTTCTCTCCTTTCACACAACACTGTCTTTCTTGAGTCTTGGCTTACTTCCTGTCAGTTCCTTCTCAGTCTTCCTCCTTGGTTTTATTCATCTGCTTGATCCCCAGGTCTCACTGTGTCTGCACTTTTATCTTCTATGTCACACTCACCCCTTACCCTCCCTTGCATGATCTCATTCAGACCCATGACTACATCTCTTAAATTTATATCTCAATTACCAGTCTTACCCCTGAATGCTAGACCTATATATCCAACTATCTACTCAACCTCTCCACATGAATGAACATCTCAGACTTGACATGTCCCAAGCCAAGTTCTTCATTTTCTCCCCACACCTGCTCCTCCATCAGTCTTCATGGAGACCGGTGGCAGCTACATTCCTCTGCTTGCTCATATTAAAACCGCTGAGCACAGTCTTGCTTCTTTTTCTTTATTTCACATCTCACCTATAACCTACCAGCAAATTCCTGGACTGTTCCTTCAAAATATCTCCAGAACCCAATCCCATCCCTCCCTTCCACTACTACCATACTGGCCTTGTCACCTTTATTTCTTAAATATTTCAATACTACCTTATCTTCCCTGACTTTACCCTGGCCCCTTTCAGTCCATTTTTCAAGTAGCAACCAGAGTGTTCATTAATAAAACATGTCAAAATGATATCAGTCCTCTGCTCATAACTCTCCAGTGGCTTCCCACCTCACTCAGAGTAAAAGCTGAGTTCTATACATGGTCTATAGGAGCTAAATAATAAGGTCCATGGGCATCTTTCAGATTTCATCTTCCACTAGTCTCTTCTTCTTCACTCTAATACAGCAATAGTACCTACTTGTTGTTTCTTGGATATGGGTAAGCATACTCCTGTCCCAGGGCCTTTGCACTTACGGATATCACTGTTTGGAGTACTCTTCTTATAGTTCACCTCCTCGTATTATTCAGGTGTCTGCTCGAACACCAACTTATCAGAGACCTTCCCTGGCTTTCATGTCTAAAGAAGCACCCTTCCTTCTTACACTTCTCATCCCCCTTACCCTGCTTTACATTTTTCTTGGCACTTAACACCACCTGATATATTCTTGATTTATTTATTTGTACTGTCTGTTTTACCTAATATAACAGGCTTTACAAGCACAGAGAATTAGTCTGTTTTGACCACTGCTGAATCACTGGTGCCTAGAACAGTGGCTGGCTCATGGCAGGCTTTCAATAACTATTTGCAGAATGAAAGAACAAATGAGTGAATGAATGAATGAAGTATCTATAATGCCTTTGTCAAATGAGTCATTTCCCAAAATGGGGTTCGCTTCTCTTACTTATTTGTAGATGGGTCTTGAGAGCTTTGGCACTTTGAAACTTTAAAGAAGACCTTAGATCCCTGGCATGTGTGGCTCACTTGGTTGGAGCATCGTCCCGTACACTGAAAGGTTGCGGGTTCGATTCCCAGTCAGGGCACATACCCAGCTATGGGTTCGATCCCCAGTCAGGGTGTGTTAGGGAGACAACCAATTGATGTTTTTGCTTACATCATTTTGTGTGTGTCTGTGTGTGTCCGTCTCTCCCACTCCCTATCTTGAAAATCAATGCAAAACATATCCTTTGGTGAGGATTGAAAATAAATAAATAAAGACCTTCCAGAAAGTTAGCTTTCAAACAGGTTTCCTGTTGGACCCTCTAAGTATTATTCTTACCTATATAGGTTAGGGGATTTGATGCTAACCTTTAAGTGGTACTCCTAAGGCTTATTTGTTCCATTTAACTTTAGGCCATCAATATAGAATGGTAAGTATAATTGTAGAAAGTTTCCTTCAAAAACTCATACTGTATTTCCACTGTTTGGGGGAAACACATCTGAGGCGAATCAGAAACAGATTTTCAGATGAAGAAACAAGAGAGAGAGCAGGTGACCTGACCACAGTCACAGATGGTGATAGAGCCAGTTCTATGTCTCTGAGACCTAGTACTTTCACTAGAAAACACCAGAAAATAGAATCTCTTTTCTTACCAGTTCTTTCCTATGAAAATGACTAATATCCTCCATTAAGTAGGGTCAAGAACGGAGCTCACATTCAGAAACACTTTGCTTACGGTGGTGATGGGTTAGTCAGGCCCCATCACCAAGAAACATGGCAGGACAGGGCTGAACAAGCATTCTGTGGTCCTGAATGAAGCAAGCTGACTCTACTAAAGAGGAATATGAGTGTTCAAACCATATTTGTACAATGTGCTAACCAAATACACCACAGGACATATGCGCACAAGAGGCAGAAGAGCGATTCATGCCTGGGCAGAGCATGATTCGCTTGGCTGAGGGTTGTTTATGTGTCAAACAGGTTGAGGCCAAGGTGAATGAGCCACTTCACAGACAGGGGTGGTGATCAGCAGTCTGCATAGAAACACATTCTGGAAGCCCTAGAGATGGATGCTTCCATCATGGTGAGCCTAGAATTAGGATGGTACATTTTCCTCTGGCTGGTGGGAACAGATATTATCATCCTAGCAAACAGTTTTCCAGAGGCACAGAATGTTCTATAAAAATTTTCATTTATCTGTCAGACTGGTATCAGAGCAACTTACGTTGATTACCACTGCCAGCCTCTCCTCTCAACACCAGCCTCACACCCCCCTTGTGTTCTCCACCCGGCCAACCACAGAAGGACGGGGGGGTGGGGGTGTCCCTGTGGCAAGTGGATCCAATGTTCTCTTTGTGTGTCGTGTTTTCTTTATTAATTTTTAGAGAGAGAGGAAGGGAGAGGGAGAGAGAAATAGAAACATCGATGAGAGAGAACATCGATTGGCTGCCTCCTGCATGCCCCTCACTGGGGTTTGGGTCCACAACCTTGGCATGTGCCCTGATGGGGAATTGAACAAGCTGACCTCTGGTGCATGGGCTGACGCTCAACCAGTGAGCCACACTGGCCAGGCCAATATTCTCTCATCCTAAAGAATATTTCCATGAAAATCAAACCAAAGCTGAGTAGGAAAGAGAGGTGGACATATATTTGGTTTCAACACTCGGATATTCATTAACCTCAACCCACCCAATTACTTTTTTTTTTTTTGGTGGTACGTGCCCCTAGCGGGAACCGAACCCAGGACTCTCTGGTCCGCAGGCCGACGCTCAACCGCTGAGCCAAACTGGCCAGGGCATACCTAATTACTTTTGGCTCCAGGTACATAAGGCTAACAGTTGTGACAATGCCTGGTATTCTTTCTTTAGCTTTTGCTGTCCTTGGAGAAATAACTTCTGCTGAAGCTGCTAGAGAATCCTGTGGTTTGTAGATCCTCATTTTCAGAAACGGTGTGTGTCTGAAAGGCTGCTCAGCGAGTGGCTCTGGATTCTCAGCACCCTCTCCCGTTTTCCCTTCTTTACAACGTGCGCCGGGCCGTGCAGCTGTGAACCGCGTCCACCTCTGGAGGGTGGACAGGAACGGGAGGAACAGCCAGTGGCCCCATCACAGCAGCTATTTAAAATAGCGGGGAAAACACAATAAACAAGCCTGTGCCTGAGCCAGCTTACTTGCTGGGCCTGTCCTTCAGACGACGCCTGATTAAGCAAATGAGCCCATTCCTTTTACAGAGGTCTAATTAATACTGTGACACGACAAAGTCATTTGAAATTCCTAGAATTTGCTTCTAAAGACCCTAATGTCGGTAGTTCCACTTGCTTGTAAAATACTTTTTATCCCCAAGTGTTCCACCGATACACAAAGGACAGAACAGAAGCTTCAGTGAGCCTTTTAAGACGACAGAGGTTCTGGTGTGGCGCACAAGGAGCTGAGCTCTGTGACTCCGCGGCTCAGTTCGCACCAGGTCTGTGGTGGCTCAAGACCGCAGAAGGCCAGCGCCCGAGAGGGGCTTCAGAGGAGACTTGGTCTTTTCACAAAGTGTTTCAGTGTCTCAACAAAAGCTTAGGGTTTTAATTACACAGGCAATCAATCATCCTTTCTTCCCATTGTTTGCAAAGAACACCAAGAGGCTTAGTTTAAAAAACTTTCAGTCTTCCTTATATGACAGATGGTTCTTCCTAAACACCTGTGTGGCTTTATGTCACCTAACTGGGCAATTAAACAAAAGACTGACCACCTTCTGTGGTTACTTTCCTTTCAGATCTCAGTGTAATCAAGAGATTTGGGGCTTGTTTATTTAATGAGCCAGGTGGTGCTGGGAGCCTAAGTTGGAATAGGGAACTGGACACAACCCAGTTTTTGAGGAGCTTATACTCTAAAGGTAAAGACAGACCCATAAAGAGGCCATTTAAACATGGTGTCATGTGTGCTAAGACAGGAGACAGCCCAGGTATGACGGAAGCACCCAGGTGGGGCACTAACCCATTCCCTGCCCCCCTCACACCCCAGAGAGAAGAAGAAATAAAAAGAGTTTATAGTACTAATGTGAAATATAGTGATCTGTTAGGTTAAATAAGAATTTCTCTCCAAGTAGAATGGTGGTTGCCAGGGGCTGGGGTGAGGGAAATGGGGAGATGTCAGTAGAAGGGGACAAACTTCTAAGATGAATATGTCCTGAGAATAACTAACCTTACGGTGTAATCATTTTGCAACACATTATGTTTTAAATAATCATATTGTATACATTAAACTTACACAGTGTTATATGCTAATTAGATTTCAATAAAGCTGGAGAAAAAAGAGGAAGAATCTGCACACAAATTGTCCTCCAGGAAAACAAAAAACACACTACTAAAAACGTGCTTTATAATACCTGTGTAAGGGGCACTGGGGTTTAATCTTGAATAAGACAACAGTGAAGTACAAAAATAATAATTTATCTCTAGCTAATAACTGCAAAGCTCTGTGTGCTCAGTGTACAATTTGTTCAGGTCACAGACTTCAAGGTAAACAAAACGTTTCAAGTGACAGTGAGAAAGGCAAGGAACTTAATTGAAATATGTGACGAAAGCTGATGACAGATGCTGAAAACAAAGATACCAACAGTTTTCTCCAGCTTTGGACATGAATTCTTATTGATCCCTGGTCACACAATCAAGGCAGACTTCAATTTGAGCC